CCTCAGTTTTGAGGTTCCAGGATTTGGGCTGAATATATTAGGTGAGACTTGGATTTAGCACAAAGTGGCACTAATAGCTAAGGGTCTGACCTGGACGACACACACACAAGGTATACATCCTAAGCAGAGGCAGGAAGGCTGAGGAGGAGAGGAAGGGGAGGCATTTGAAGCTGAGCAAGTTGGGGTGGAGATATTGAAATTAGATGGTCAACCTGACTCTTATCACCCAGCGTGGTGGACAGGGGCTTTTTAAAAATATATATTTATTGCATCATCCTTTATTTTTGTACAGTGTATGATTTCCCCGTGAAATTCCCACCACCGATTTACCCCTGCACTACCAACATAGTCCCTTGTGCTCCTCCCACTACTGTCCTGATTCTTCTCCCTCCTCTGCCCCTACAGAATGTCTCTATAGTTGCCTAGATACTGATTTTTACTATATTATAGTTACTCCTTTATTTTTTTCTATCCCTTACTTGGTTCTTCTACATCTCTCCTATTGGTGAGACCATTCTATATTTTTCTTTTTCTTTCTGACTTATTTCACTGAGCATAATCCCTTCCAGCTCCATATATGTGGCTGCAAAGGGCATGAGTCTATCATTTTTGATTGCTAAGTAATATTCCATGTATAAATATACCACATCTTCTTGATCTAGTCATCTATTGGGGGGCATTTGTATTGCTTCCATAGCTTACCTATCGTAAGTTGTGCTGCAGTAAACATAGGGGTGCAGCTATCCTTTTGAGTTAATGTTTTTGTGCGCTTTGGGTAGATTCCTAGGAGTGGAATTGCTGGACCATATGGAGGCTCCATTTTTGGTAGTTTGAGGAAATACTAAGGAACACAGATTTCCACTGTGGTTGGACCAGTTTGCATTCCTACCAGCAGTGCAGGAGAGTTCCCTTTTCTCCACATCCTCACCAACATTTGTTGTTGCTAGTTCTTTTAATATGTGTGCTACTCTCACTGGTGTGAGATCGATTTGCATTTCTCTGATTACAAGTGATGTTGAATACTTTTTCATATGCCTGTTGGCCATTTACATTTTTTCTTTGGAAAAGCATCTTTTCAGCTCTTGCTCATTTTTTGGACTGAGTTGTTTACTTTGTTTTTGTTGAGCCTCATTAGCTCTCTGTATATCTTTCTGATCAGTCCCTTATCATTAGTATTGTGCGCAAAAATTTTCTCCCAATCAGTGGAATTGTTATAGGACACCAAATCTGTTACAGGACAACAAATCTGTTAGAGGAAAGGGGGAGAGAGACACCCCTGAAGCCCCAAAAA